AATTACACACATAACTAAGGAATGGTATGATAATCTGTGATAAAACATAATGAATTAATTACACACATAACTAAGGAATGGTATGATAATCTATGATAAAACATAATCAACTAATTACACACATAACTAAGGAATGGTATGATAATCTATGATAAAACATAATGAATTAATTACACGCATAACTAAGGAATGGTATGATAATCTATGATAAAACATAATGAATTAATTACACACATAACTAAGGAATGGTATGATAATCTATGATAGAATATAATGAATTAATTACACACATAACTAAGGAATGGTATGATAATCTATGATAGAATATAATGAATTAATTACACACATAACTAAGGAATGGTATGATAATCTATGATAGAACATAATGAATTAATTACACACATAACTAAGAAATGGTATGATAATCATAACAATTTCACAAACATGATATATATATAAACTCAAAGTACAACAGAATTAAACTATGGCCATGTATGTTTCAGGAATATTACGAAAAAATGGAGAAAAGAAAGACCCTGAGACGGCGAATTATGTCCCAGCTTTTCAGTTAGATCCTGTGGAAATCAATAAAAAAGTCATTGTATTCGAAACAGACTTTCAACTTTTCTCTTCTTTTTTTTAAGCATGTTCTATATTTACTTGCACAGGTGCTTCTAAATCCATCCAAATTGCACCTTCTCTAATTTATCAAATATAGGTCATTCATTCCACGGATCTACATAGGCCTAACTCTAACCTGGCAACTTAACTTTATACAGAATATTTACTTATAAAAACTGTATCATATGCCCTCTAAATGTCATGCAGTATCTTAAAGCTGAGGAGAAGAGACACGGAAAAAGTTGATCATAACCATCAAAGAAAGACAACTGATTTCCTGGGACGCATGAAAGAAAAGAATAACTTGAAAATTAGTAATTATAGAAAGAATAGATGGTTAAAAAAGGCGAGGAAGACCATGGTTAAACTACATCAGTAGCAGAATCAAATGGATGGATGTCAGTATTACTGAGATTTGAAAACGTACAAAAGACAGGAAACTATGGAGAACCATGATCGCCAACGTTAAAACTGGATATAGCACCTAGAGATAGAGAGAGATCTTAAAGCTACTCTTTCCCTGATATTTAATCTTTAAAAACTATTATATTTAAGTCATAAGCTTCCTTATGTACATGACCAACCAGTTACTAAAAATTTATAATGGAATTGTCTTGATTTTATCACTTAAAACATTCCAGAAGGTGAGATTTAATAAATGTTTACATCATTGTTTTAAAATCTACATAAAAAAACGAGTTTCAGCTAAATTTAAACATTTAATTACAAAAAGTAGTAATAAAATATTTATACTGTAAAACAATTCATTATTTTCCAATTATGACATATAATAATTCACCTAAATTGTCACACCACAAGAGTAGAGACGAATGATCATGATAATAAAAATAAACTAAAAATGGATAAATCATATTCAAACATTATAATTTTTATTGGATTTTCTTAAATTTCATTTACAAATCTTTTTATCTTACTTTTTTACTGTCATAGAAAGTATGGACGAAAACACGTTCGACCAAATGAACGCAATAAAAACATGCTTTTACTTTGAATTTTAATCAGTTACATTTTGAACACGTTGTACAAGAGCTAGAATTTTTTAAAGTAGACTATAATTTAAAACTTTTATTTTGCTTTCATAATCTAGACTATAGTTTTGAACTTTTGTTTTCAATCAAAGACTGCAGGCTTATAAAGCTAAAAACCGGGTTCCGATACCCGTGGCGGGCAGAGCACAGATAACTCATTGTGTAGCTTTGCGCTTAAGAACAAAACAAACAAAATTCAATCAGAGAACAACACCTAGTAATGAATAGTGTGACTTCTGAAACATGATTTAAAAGTTTTTCAAGTTACTAAAACTTTTTGTTGTTGTATCTTATGAAGATGGGTTAATTAAGTGTTTTATGTTAGTAGCTTCTATCAAATTTACAAAAACAAACGTACAATAATGAAATGAGATGGACGGAGATAAAAACCAGTAAAGACATAAAATCAATGTTTTAAATAACGTTTTACTTTACGTGTGCTTAATTTTCATTAGGCTACCACGGACAGTCCTGCGATGATGTAGTCAACCTTTGCGACAGTCAGCCTTGTTTGAACAACGCCACCTGTTGGGGAAACCAGACAACTTACAGTTGTGACTGTCGACCAGGTTTCTTAGGGAAGAACTGTGATATAGATATCAACGAGTGTTTTTCAAATCCTTGTGTTCATGGCGTTTGTGAAGATGGAAACGGAGGTTACAAGTGTTACTGTTTACCTGGTGAGTGTATTGTTAGTTTAAAAAATATAAATATTAGAATGGGTTTTAACTCCCGTTCATACACTCATAAACTACTGTTTAAAACGTAACTACTTACAAGTCTTTCACAACATTTTGTCGACCATGTGGTCCATAACGAAAGACGTTATCTTGAATATTTTTGAAACTTCTCGTTACCAGAGAATGACAAATAAATTCATTACAATGTGCAGTTTTGTAATCTCGAAAATATATCTTGAAGGAAGCTAGAACTATCCTATATAAATACAATAGAGACGGCTGATATGGATATTAAAAACTTTTACTTAAATCACAGTACAAGAAACAACGTTTCGACCTCCTTGGATCATCATCAGATTAGGAATGACACTTGAAAAAAGTGAACGCTATTGATCACTTTTTCAAGTGTCATTCCTAACCTGATGATAACCTAAGGAGGTCAAAACGTTGTTACTTGTTTTGTATTGTAAATAAAAGTTTTAATACGCATGTCAGCCGTATCTACTGTGTATATTTACTTCAACTGGGTTCCTCGTCATCATAAAGAGTTTTATCACGTCTTATATTTATTGAAATAATTGGGAAAATATTCATCCGTTTTTGTGTACAATTTGTTTGATAATACTTCTCATGTGTAATAAAAATACGTTATAAACAAACTGGAAGCTCTATTTCTGGGAACGTATAAATAAATACGTACCAAATTCTGCACGTGTGACTTTGAAAAACTCTCATATTTTGTTTGTTTGTTTAAAGTTAAGCACAAAGCTACACAATGGACT